ACAGATATACATATAAAATATGAGGTCAAAATTCAATTAAGTGGAAAAATAATCAGATTTATTCAAAAAGAAAGACATTTCAAGAAAACACAAGAAAAATGCATAGCCTTGTGGCAATTCAAATTATGCAAAAATTATAAAAACTTAGTGAAGAAAAAGTCACTTAATTTAACATTTTTTCCTCTGCCTATATATTTTAGTGCTACGTTTTTTCCTAGTAAATGAGAGATAATTCTTTTGTAGCTATTTTAAGCATTTTAAAAGCCACTGGCATAAGAGCCTTTAAAAGTCCTTGACTAATGTGTATTTTCCTACTTTTTTGTTTGTTTATTTGTACTGGTTTATAAATTTTCAAGAGAATTCCCTTTAATTATATTTTACCCCCAGGGGAAAAGTTCAGCTTGTCCTTTTTCTGGATCAATAAAAAATGCTACCCATAGTGCCAATGCATAGTACTTGTGGTGACCAACAAAAAAAGATGCCACTTGCTTTATATCTCCGGGAGAACTAAAGTTGAATAGTGCTTACTGGTTTGATCTCTAGTTAGAATTAAAGATCTGTGAAAAGAAAAATTAATCGTCTTAGAACAAAATCACTATCTTTATCTCATTTTTTTTCTTCTTTCCAACAGATAACTGCCCAGTTTCATTATCTAACGTAAAATCAAACACCTAAATGGCCATCTAATCATAGCACCTAATAGCACATAGCACATAACACCTACATGGTCATCTAAGAAGTCATCTAATCATAGCTACAAAGAATTCCTAGACGGTTATGTCCTTATAAATCGGAACCCTGTCTTAATAACTGTCTTTATTTCTTAGAATATAGAATACCGCCTGGCCTATAGGCAAACTTCATAATTTTTTCTTAAAAATAATTCATAGACAGGTATAATTCAATGCACAGAAAGAGTTTAAAGAATTCCATAATAGGTATTGGAAATCTACATGAAATTTATCTGGTATTAACACATCCTCGGTTAAGCTTTTGACATATCTCTTCATCTGCCATGTATACACATGAGGCCTTCTGAAACTGCAGTAAGTAAACTTCCATTCTTTGATCAATGAAATGCAGTAATAAGTTTGTATTATTACATTTTTCTTGATGATTATTTCTATCTTTATATTTTATAGTTATAATTTCAATAATAGTTCTGTAATTTGAATCATTAATGACAAAAGTAATGTTTGGGTTTTGTCATATTAATGAAATATATTCCCAATACCAATAGTGCATTTTTTTTATCTCTGGGTTGTCAAGTTAATATTGAACATATAATACAAAGTACTATATGTATTACATATAGTATGTATATGTATACAGCAAAATACAGAATCAATAGAATTATTGAAATTTTTATAATTTTCAATTAATAGAATCATTATGTTTATAAAAACGTCAGCAATAAGATGAATTCCCAAAAACAAAACAGTTGTTTCTGACATCTTAAATCATCCCAAAAGAAACTAAAGGTAAAGACTAAATGTTCCTCTTAGAAAAAGGAGGGATTTTTTTTCCTGTATAATATTGAAACCCAGGGACATTGTGAGATTGACAAATGATCATAAAACCGTAGACAATGCAAAACTGAATTTTTTGACTAGTATATAAAAGAATGACACTGTGGCAGCAGGGTTGGGGGCGGGGTGGCAAACTTCAGCTTGGTGCTTATTTCTTAAAGATTTATTGGAATACAGCCAAACCTATTTATGTGTTACATATGGCAGAGTTGAGTAGTTGAGAGACTGTTATCAACCCCAATGCCTAAAATAGTTACTATCTATCTTTCATAGAAAAAGTTTGCTGACCCTCGCTCTTTGCTAATGTATACAAAGATAAACACTTCACAGACTAAACAGATTTAGGATTACACTGTTATGAAAAAAGAGAACCTGACTTATACTCCCATGTAGATATTCCCCCCTCCCTACAAAGATACTATAGAAAAGACCAAGATTATTATGGAGTGAGATTCTTCTGCTCAAGAGCCTAGACTGAGGTACCAAAGATCTGTACCAGGNGCAACGTCCTCCACAACTAGACTGAAGAACAAAAAGGACAGCAACTTGTCTGTTCCCCTTCCCCAATTCCCCAATAAAATCTTTAAAAAAAAAAAAGTTTTTTTGATCAACTATAAACAAGCATACTGACAAATTTGGTACACTGGGTGAATATGCAAAGAATGCCCATTTTGTGAAGTCACTGACAGATTTGCAAAAGCTGTCAATTTCTTTTCTGACCATTATTTGTTTTATTTCATAATTACTACTGAAAATACCGTATTTCCCCATGTACAGGACATACCCTTTTTTGAAAAATTTGGGGTCTAAAAACTGGGTGCACCTTATACAGTGGTTATAGATTTTTTTACTTGCATTTCCTGTTTTCATGCTTGTTTTTGTGCTTATTGTTATAGTTTTCTTTACTTGCATTTCCCGTTTTTTCACGCTGGTTGTCTTTGCGCTCACTGTTTCACACTTGTTACCGGTACATTACGGTAGGTTGTGTTTTGCCACGTTCTGCCCAGAAATGGCTCAGAAAAGATTTTCATACAGTGCTGAATGCAAGTTAAAAGTGATCCAGTTTGCAAAAGTGAATGGAAATCGTGCTGCTGAACATAAGTTTGGTCCTCCTCCAACTAAGAAAACAATCTGAGACTCGTTATGGAAAAAAGAAACCCTATTGAAAACGCCACGGCAGAAGACCATGAGAGGCAATATATGAAGACTGTGATTCGTCATCAGACACAGGTGAGGACAAGCTAATGGTTGGGAGTTTTGGTTTGTTTGTTTGTTTGTTTTTTTAGCTGAGCCATCCTGCCACCTGTTGGCAGCTTAGTGGCAGCTCAGCTCGGGCCGGGCATCGAACCACTGTTGCTCAGAGCTCACAGTCTTGAGCGAGCTCTTAACCAATTGAGCCACTCAGCCAGCCCCTGGTTGGGAATTTTGACAGTGATGAGGAGTTGTATGAATTTTATGATAAATAAAACTTAAGTTCAATAACTTTATGTAATACTTTTTTTTAATTTCAGGCCCCAAAATTAAAGTGCGTCATATACATGGGAGTGTCTTATACATGGGGAAATACGGTAATTTGTCACACAGAGGAGGGAGGTATTAAAAAATGATCCACTCCAGGTATCAAATACACAAAGTATACCAATGGTTTACTTTAACACGTTCTTCCTGCTCCATTTATTACTTTTGAATTCCTTCCCTTCTTCCTGAAGTACATCCCTTAGAGTTCTTTGAACAAGAGCTGCCAGTAGTAAACTCAGATTTTTTTTTTAATTTGCTCTCACTCATGAAAAACAGTTTAGCAGCGAACTGATGACGCTACTCCACTAAATTCTTAAATGACCACTGAAATACTTACTTCTTCCTCTTCTGAATCACCATCGTCGTCGTCATCATCATCATCATCATCATCATCATCATCATCTTCTTCTTCTTCTTCTTCCTGTTCTTCAGTGAGAGGTGGTGGTAAACGACTGATGTCTTCCTCCATATGAGTAACTGGTTCTTCCACCATTTTAGGAGGTAAAGGAGGGCCAATTAACTCATCATCAGAAGAATCGGAACTCTCTTCACTTCCAGTGCTGCTTGTATCACTGAAAATACAGAAACAGAACTCTTTGCCTCTGCTGCAACAAAGAACACACTCTAGAGACAGTGTGGCTTTCTCAGGAAATCCTGCCTCTTAACAACTGAGTATTTTAAATGTTTTAAAATTTATAATACAAATGTTAAATGTGTAACTCAAATATTTCTTAAGTAAAAATTTCTGTCATCTGCTTATCTTACCTAAAGTCAGAAATAAAGACCACAACGATTACACATTAGCGGCCCATTTGATCATCCTCTCTCATAATGCCAGCAGAACAACTGGAGTGTGTAAGAAAAACCACAAACTACTACATCCCTAAGAAAGAAAACCGCTATTTACTACTGGGTTGTTGGTATATATATATAAAACCCAAAATATTTTAATCCAATCACCATTTGTCACAGGAACAAATAAAGCCAGTCATGTAAGAAATTTAATATTACTCCCAAAATGTTTCAATATATTTTATGAAATATAATTCTCAGTTCTAATCCAAGTTTGCTGAGTTGCTAAAATGTTAAATGTAGCATTCTGAATTCTAAAAATTATCTTCCTCTATCATAGTGATGCTTAATTGTTTTTATACCCAGAACACCTGAGAACTATTTCAAACTCTTATTAAGGTCTTAACTCTAGGAATTCTGAAAACCACCATCACCCACCATCCCTCCACCTCCTATCCCATTCCAAAGGGTTGAGAATTACATTCTTAATTGTATCAATTAATCAACCAAATATTTTTTAGGACTCAAAGTGTCATTTAGGGCATAAAGTATCTCTAGTATGTAAGCTCCATGAGAACAAAAATAGCTGTTGTGTTCATTGCTGTGTCTCTAGCACCAAATGATGCCTGCCATATCCACTGAAAAAATAATGGGATTTTCCTTTTTATTTTCATTTAGGTTCACTATTGAAAGAAATACATTCTCACATATATGTTATCTTTATACAAAGGCAGGATAAGCAAACCTCCATAGTTTCTATTTTTCAACGGTCTAGCTTGATGTGCTCCAGTCTCACAGGCCTTCCTTCTAACTAAATCAGCAAGTTAAGGTTGGTTCAGCACAAGGGTCTTTGCTCTTGCAATTCTCTCTGTTGAACTGATGGTTACATGGCCTCTTTCTCATCATTCAGGTCTCCTCAATGTCACCACTTCAAAAAGGCCTTCAGGGTCCCCCTTTCTAAACTTTCAGATATACCCCTATCAGTCAATATTACCTTAATTACCTTACTTTGATTATCCTTATTACATACATCCTAGGTTGCCTCATTTGATTAGTTTTGCTGTTTATAATCTGTTATCCATCCTCTCAAATACTCTCACAATATGAACTCAGAGATCTCATCTGACTTGCTAATTGTTGTATCCCCAGTGCCTAAAGCAGTGCCTAACCCACAACAGATGTTCAATACATAAACAATAGCTGAATGACCGAATAAATTTGTATTGACACATTGAGGATGGGGTATTTAAATGATTAGACGCAAATATGTGTCACCGGTCCACAATATGTTAAAGTATTCACACTCCCAAATTTTCTCCCTTGTGATTAAATCACAAATTTCCAACTGTACTGGTTTAGAAGTCAGACTTTCTTAATGCAATTATTCAGGCCACAGAGAACTCTACATTGAAATGTTAATCCTTAACACCCATGCTTTAGTTAACTAAGTTAACTAGTTCAGAAGTAAGCATTGAACTGAGAACTAAACGGATCCATGTTGATTTCATGGCTGATTACGCAGGCCTAATGCCCAC